TTCGGAGCACAGTTTTCCTGTCCTGATCACTTGCTCCCCACCTGGCAGCTGCTTCCAAATTACCACGCAGAGACATATTATTTATAAATGCTCAGGCTTATTACTAAATAGCTCTTACATTTTATGTTAGCCCACATTCCTTATTTATGCTCTGGCACATGGCAGCACCTTTATTAGCATGGCACGTTCATCTACTGCTCCCTCTGCATCTGACTGGCAAATCATGACTCTGCCCTTTCCTTCCCATCATCCTTAGTTTGGTTGCCTTGCCTATACTTCCTACCTGGCTACTGGCTACAGTGTTTTACTAACCCAATTTGAGTGACCAATCTTTACAGTGTACAAGAGGACTATTCCACAGCATTTCCCCTTTTTGTCTAATTAAAAAGAAAGGTTTTAGCTTTAACACTAAGATCTTCAATTTTTTGTTGTTATTGTTGCTGTTTTCTTTTCTTTTCTTTTTTTTTTTTTTTGAGACAGGGTTTCTCTGTGTAGCTTTGGAGCCTATCCTGGCACTCGCTCTGGAGACCAGGCTGGCCTCGAACTCAGAGATCTGCCTGCCTCTGCCTCCCGAGTGCTGGGATTAAAGGCACGTGCCACCAATGCCCGGTCTTGTTTTGGTTTTCTTTCTTTTCTTTTTTTGAGACAGGGTCCTCCATTTCCTGGCTGACCTGGAATTCACTGTGCAGACCAGCGTAGCCTTGAACCACCTGCCTCTGCCTCTGCCTCCTGAGCACTGGGATTTGAAGGTATGTATCAATATGCCCTGCTAATGGTCACATGTTCTTAAAGTCCCATTTCTTCTTTGGCTTTTCTGTAAAACTTAGCACATTCTGGCAAAGGGACTCAGAGCCTAGGTGCAAGCCATTGTTCTCTTCCTTCACACCAAAATTTAGTCTTTAATTAAAATGTTAAATGACTTTTATATTTGTGCTTTTCTTTTTTCTTCTCATTCTTTTCTTTTCTTTTCTTTCTTTCCTTCCTTCCTTCCTTCCTTTCTCTTTCTCTCTTTCTCTCTCTCTCTCTCCTTTCTTTCTTTCTTTCTTTCTTTCTTTCTTTCTTTCTTTCTTTCTTTCTTTCTTTCTGGTGCTGGGTATTGGACCCAGGACCTTGAGTTTACTAGACAAGTCCTCTCTTGAGCTAAATCACCAACCCCTGTACTTTTCTGTATTTGATCTTATTGCCTGTAGCAAGTATGCATTGTTGATATAACCAGAGAAAACATGAAGGCTATTTTCATTTCCTCTTGTTCAGTTCCTTCAGGTCTTAGCAGGAGTGGAGTAATGTGGCTTAAACATTAACCCGAGTAGAGCTTATTCTTGCACCTTCTCCAGGATGTATATCCTCATCTCTGTCAATAATTTCTGCCACCCTGCTTTCTAAGTCAAATTCTGAATTAGCTCCCACAACCAAAATACTACTTTAATCTGTTCTTTTAATCCTCTTTCAAACACCAACTCCCCTTTTCTTAGAGGCAGGGTCTCACAGAGCCCCGGCTAGTCTCAAAGTCACCATGTTGCAAGGATAGATTTGAGTTTCTGATCTTCCTGCTTCTATCTCAATGCTGGAGTGATGCATAGGCATCATTATGACTGGGCAGTGTGCTGCTGCCGATCAAAGCCAGGGCTTATCGTGTGCTGGGCAATCAGGCTACCAACTGAGCTTCATCCCCAGCCTTTTCCTTATTCATCTCTCTCCTCATTCTTTCTACCCCACTTGGCTATTGCCTAAACTGTCTCTTTATCATCTCACCTATATTACACATCACCCTCCTAATTCATCTACCCACCTCCAGCTGCATCTCTGTCCAGTAAGGTCTTCTAGATCCTGAGTCCCTCCTACTTAACATCCATTACTGGCTCCCCACTGTCTATGAGAGTCTGAATCAGAATGTGTCAGCCGCACTGGCTTACAAATTCAGTTTTGTCTCTTGTTGCGTCTCAGGAAGTGCCCTATAGCTAAGGACACTTTGCTACCTCTGTGTTTCATGGACATGGCTTCTTTTTGTCTTAAGGGTTTGGATCTTGTTCCCCTTCTATTTTGAAAAATTCCTCCGTCCTTTCCCTGAGCACTGTTCTACTATGTAGAAAGTTAGGCTAAGAATGCCTCCTCTCCATTCTCCCTCCCCTCTACTCCAGTCCATCTGATCCTACTACATCCAGAGAATGGCAACAGTGACAGGGTCTGTATGGGAAGCTTTGAAAACACGGACTTACTAAATACAGTGATTGTATTAGGTAGGCATTGCCTTAAACCTCTTTCTATTGTCACATTTGTGCCACTGTTTTCACATGGCTTAGTTAGCTAGCTTCCCAATATACAATCTCAATCAACTTCGTGCCCCTGGCGACTGGCTACAAGTTCTATAAATGTCTTTTTGGAATGTGGTGAAATTAGCCTCAATCTCAGGATTAGGTGATGTGAGATTTTACAGGTCAGTTTAGGAGACACCTGGATTCTAGTCAGAGGCTTTGGTATTTCTCTAGTCACCTTTGTACTAGATGATACAGCCACCTTCCTAGTTGCTCAAGGAAATGACCTAGAGTTACCTTGTGTATGCCTTTCTTCACATCTGCACTCCACGGAAGTACCCTGAACTTTTTCATCTTTTATTTCCACAGCAACTACTCCAACCCAGGTAACTACTACTACTATCTGCACCATATGCTTACTCAATACCTTTTTTTTTTTTCTTTCTTTTTTTTTTTGTTTTTTGTTTTTTGAGACAGGACTCCTCTGTGTAGCCTAGGCTATCCTGGAACTTATTCTGTAGACCAGGCTGGCCTCAAACTCACAGAGTATCTGCTTGCCTCTGCCTCCCGAGTGCTCGGATTAAAGGCATACTCTACCACTACCCAGCAACAATTACTTTTTTGTTGCCTTGTTTCTCGTTGTTCCATGCCTGTCTGCTGTTCTTCAAAGATCATTCTCTATAAAATAGGTTAAAAAATGTGAAAACTCTAGATGAAAACAAACAACAAAACACTCAAATGAATAAACAAAACAACAACAAAAACCAGGCTGGGCATGGTGGCACAGGCCTTCAGTACCAGCTGAGGCAGGCAGATTTCTGAATTAGAGTGCAGCCAGGGCTACATAGTGAGACCATGGTTCACCCCTCTCCCCCACCAAAAACCTCTTTCCTTTGCACTATATTACGTGAGTAAGAATCCAAACCACAGGACTAGACTCCTGCTCAATGTTCTAACTCTGTGTCAGCCCTCTCCCTCAAGTGTGCTTCAGCCTCCTGCTCCTTAAACCAGCCAAAGCTGTTCACTATATCAGGTCCTTTACACTCATTGTCCTCTATCTGGAATGTTCTTCCTGCCAATGCTGGCATGGCTAATTCTTCTTCCATATTTAAGTCTTAATTCAGATCACCTAAGAAAAAAATCACCCATGCCTTTACAAAAGTGAAGTGGTTGATTGTTTGTAGCTTATGTCCTCAAATTCTCTGTACTGTTTTATGAAAACCTGGGAAGCCTTTTAAATTACTTATGGCATTTTTTTTTTTTTTTACATCTTTCCCTGGCCACTCTGTATGACCACTGCCGCAATTGTGTTGTTATTTTCCTTCCCCATTAGAAACACACACTTTGCAATTGCAGTGGCTGTATCAAAGGCCACAATCACACTTTGTCTTTCACTTTTTTCAACTTTTTTTTTTTTTTTTTTGGTTTTTCAAGACAGGGTTTCTCTGTGACTTTGGAGGCTGTCCTGGAACTAGCTCTTGTAGACCAGGCTGGTCTTGAACTTACAGAGATCTGCCTGCCTCTGCCTCCCTAGTGCTGGAACTAAAGGCCTGTGCCACCACTGCTTGGCTCACTTGAATTTCTGATCTGCCTACTACCTTTACATAGTCCTGGCTGTCCTGGAACTCACTAAGTAGACCAAGCTGGCCTACAACTCAGAGATCTGCCTGCCTCTGCCTCCTGGGTGCTGGGATCAAAGGTGTGCACTAGCATACCCAGGAGTGTGTTACCCAGCTCAGCTTTTTTTTTTTTTTTAAACTGAATAAATGAAAAATGAAAAGGCAATGGTCTTCTTTGGTGTGTAAATGAGGTCCCAAAAGAAGTGAACCCCTGAGTCCCAAATGTCCTAACTGGTGGGACAGGAGAAGGAGGCACAGACAAGAGCCCTTCCCAATGCTATCTACGGACTGTTGACAAAAGCATTAATCACATTTGTCCAGAGGATGCAAAAAACTGGGCTGATCTGTAAAGAGCCTAGCTCCAAGGTGATCAGTGCTGTCGCCGTGGGCCGGCAGGGGAACTCCTCGCTTGAAAGGTCTACAGAGCAGGCAATTCTTGTAAGGGTTAGGCTTTTGTTAAGGGCGTCTGACCTGGAGAGGAATGGTCAACCGGACAGGTTAGGGACTGACTCAATGATTAGTGAAGCCAGTTTATAGGGCATTGTTTCACAGGCTGACAGGGACTCTTCAGTCTGTTTCTTTTAGCTCTCTAAATTTATCCTACATTCACCCACATCTTTTACTTTTTCTCATTTTTTAATTATTTAGTCCCAAGGATGCTTTTTAAAATTATTTGGTTATCCCATTACTTCAAGTGACTCACTTCTGTCTTTCCCAGTTTGTGAAGCATAGACTCATTCAGTCAAGTAGAATTTTGACCATAAAAGCCACTGACGACAGGTTTTCGGCCACTGCTTCTATCTTCCTCCTTAACGGTCATTTCCAAGAGCCCCGTTAGCACCAGACACCCCTCGTCCCACGCTACCACGCAGGTTGCTGTTTTTGGACTTTCAGGAAGTTGACTCGGTCCTCTCGCAGCCACATTGGGGGAGGGTTTACCGTGGAGCCAGAAAACCAGGTAAGCTGGAGAAGCGCCGCGGGTACCCAAGAGCTGGGGAGGGGGCGTGGCAGTGGGCGTTGCCAGGCGCCGCAGGACCACCAATGGTATCCGGGAGCTCGGGGCGATGCGCGTGACGCAGCCGCGGGCTAGGAGGTTGGGGCGGAGAACGGGGGTGGGGGCCGGCGCTTTATCTTTCTCCGCTGCCGGACTGGCCGCGTTGTGGACCGGCGTAGGGACATCGTTCCACAGCGATCCTCCCGCGGCTGCCCAGCCTGCCCCCGACACCGCCGCAGCTGCCCTCCGCCCGCAGGTAATCGCAAGCTTCCGCTCCGCTCCCCTCCCCTCTTCCTTTCCTGTTCAGGTCCACACTGAGCCCGAGAGGAAGGGGACTGCGGTGGCGGCGCCGCTCCGGCTCTGCGGGCCTGGCCTGGGCCGGACTGTCCCGCTGAGACCCTGCCTGTCGCCGGGGGAGGGCGGGAAAGTTACCCGCAGCCATCCGGATGACTGGCAGCCTTTTCAGTATCACTGATGGTTTTGATGTCCCCCGAGTCATGTGGCGTCTCTCAAGCCAGTCAGTAGTAAAGAAAGTTGCGAATTAGACGTCACCGAATTCTTTGAAAAGCGACATCAAAAAAAAAAAAATGCGCTCAGGAAGTCAGTTTTCTTTTTCTTTTTCTTCTTCTTTTTTTTTTTTCTTTTCCGTGATGTGGGCCGGGGAGATGTGTGTGAGGGGAAAGATGGCACTGCTAGACACCAGACTCTGTATGGGCCAAGGACTCCAAAACCTTTTAGTCAAGCTCATGTTCTGTTTTTAAGTAGCACGAGGGAATTGTTAAGTTTGTCTTTGATCTTAAGTGTTAATATGCATGTAACTTATACTTAAACTTAAAAGATTATTTGTGAGAAATTACTCTAAGCTCCATTCTTTGCATTTTCTATAAAAGTCGTTAGTCACTAATACTCAAGTAGTTGCCACTTTTTCTCTTCAAACTGCTTGCCTGTTTCGTTAATGCAGAATCCAACTTGAATATTTCTTTCTCTTGTTTGCTTTCAAGTGGGAAATACAAATGACTTGTTAATAAAGAGCCAGCTCAGGCAGCACGGGAGTGGGGATTGCAAAGAGTTCTGATGCGGCGAAGAGTAAGCAGAGTAAACGTGGAGAAGCACACGGTTTAGAGTGTCACGTGCTTGGAACTGGTCTGGAGTTTCACGTTCCCTAAGGACTCCGACCAAGGTACTGAGTGCCTGAGCTCCTGCTGTCTTCAAGCCTAGGCGGGTTCTCCAGGCTCCAGCTTCCTTTCTTTTGTCCCTGGAAAGCTTCTTCTTATCTTCTGGAGCATTTCCCCCAGGCCCTAGGCTCCCCTTTCCCCTTTTCCAACCCCTAAGCATTCCTCAAACCAAAGATTACTTCCCTGTGGGAGCCGCTCTTCAGTGTAAGTTTGCTAGAGCTCTGCAAATCTCTTGACCAGCAGTTAGTAAATGCTCTAATTGTTTTTTAGTGGATTTCATGTGGCTAGACTGTCTTTTTTTCCATCTTCTCAAGGTCTGGCCCAGTACCTGGCCTGAACAGAACTAGAGTTGGAGGGCCTAAGAAGGAACTTAGAGAAGACATTAATTAGGGAGAGTGACTGTTTCCTGTGGAAGTGCCATTTGTCAGACAGGAAGAGGCTTAGATTTTTTTTGTATTTGCCACATTGGATAACTAGTTAAATTTAATCATTTGTAAGTAAAATAAACTCAGATGTAAATAAAATTTGCCCAAGTTCTCCTGTTCTTTAGTCTTGTTAATTGACCCAGTTCTGTTAAATGAAGAAGTTGTAGCGTGGGACAAGCCAATTTTGGAGGGAAGATGAAGATGTTATGCTTTGGATTGTTAACTTTTAACCCCTCCTTGCCTGTCTGCCTCCCTTCTTTTTATTGATAAGATCTCATGTAGCCCAAACTGGCCTGATGCTGTGTAGCTGAGAATTATCTTAAACTCCTTGGTTCTCCTGCTTTAGCTCTCCAAGTATCAGGATTTTAGGTGTGTGTGCCACTGTATCCAGGGTTGGATTGCAAATTCTATCCACAGTGGTTTCCCTTTTCCTGAACCTCAGGGTGATGTAGGTGTCACTCACCTGCAGTAGGTACCCAATATTTATTTGTCATTCAGGCTTATAAGTTCTTTTTAAATCTTTGTTAACGAGAACACCGGAGGCAGGCTAGAGTTGACATTTCTTTGGGGCATGAATCATTTGTTTCTCTAATTCCTTTTATGTACTTTCTGGAGACAAGGGGGATACTTATGGCAGAACATTACATAACTTCCCTGTACAGATTGGTTTCTTCCATTCTTGTCTAATCAGTGTGTGGCATTTCATTGCTAGTGTGTGTGGTGTTTCTGCACCACATCTCACTACACTGTAGTGGGTATGGAGGCCAGAGGACTACCTGGTGGAGTTAGGTTTCTTCTACCTTTATGTGGCTTTCAGGGATTCAGCTTGGGTTGCCAAGCTTCCTGCAGGCATTTTTATCCACTTAGCTATCTGGCCAGCCCCACTGGTCAACTTTGTCACCCAGAAGGAAGATAGTTCCACCACACAATCTAGTGCATCTTTGCAAATGGGGTGGGAATGTTTGTGGTAGCTCAGGCCTAGTACTCTGGGGCAGAGAAGCAGGCAGAACTGAGTTAGGCCAGCCAGGGCTACATAGAGAGACCTTGTCTCAAAAAAAAAAAAAAAAAAACACCAACAAGAGAT